TTGTTCTTGCATTTTTCCTGTATTGGAGGGTCTCAAATCCTAATGAAGAAGCAATGTGGTTGTGGGGCATGTCTCTGGTTTGTGAAATTTGGTTTGCTTTTTCTTGGCTACTGGACCAGCTCCCAAAGCTCTGTCCAGTTAACCGTGTTGCTGACCTTGATGTTCTGAAGGAGAAGTTTGAAACTCCTAGTCCAGATAATCCTACAGGAAAATCTGATCTTCCTGGCATAGATATCTTTGTTTCTACTGCAGACCCAGAGAAAGAACCACCCCTTGTTACTGCAAACACCATCCTGTCTATTCTTGCTGCTGACTACCCAGTTGAGAAGCTCTCGTGTTATGTTTCTGATGATGGAGGATCTCTGCTGACTTTTGAAGCCATGGCAGAGGCTGCTAGTTTTGCCAACTTGTGGGTTCCATTTTGTAGGAAGCATGAAATTGAACCCAGAAACCCAGAATCTTATTTCAATCTGAAAAGAGATCCTTATAAGACAAAGGTCCGCCCAGATTTTGTTAGAGATCGAAGGCGGGTAAAACGCGAGTATGATGAGTTCAAGGTTCGAATTAATGGCCTTTCTGATTCAATTCGCCGACGTTCTGATGCTTATAATAGTCAAGAGGAGCTTAAGGCAATGAAGAGATGGAAAGAGAAAGGCGATGATGAACCATTGGATAGATTGAAGATCCCAAAAGCTACTTGGATGGGTGATGGAACCCATTGGCCTGGCACCTGGACAGTTCCAGCACCTGAGAACACTAGGGGTGATCATGCCAGCATCATACAGGTAAGATTACTAGTTCTAAAACTTACATTTTATTACAGGAACTCCTCTTTTTTGTTATCTAATACAACAGAAAAAAGCATCTATTAATTTCTCATCACATCTTGCTTGCTATATGGAGTGTTATTTTCCTTGATTAAGAGGCAAAAAGTTTAGGCATAGTGTTACTAGAGTTCCGTGGCAAATGCATTAATTGCCCAGTAGGGTACTTAGTAACTTCTATTGAGATTTATTCAAGTGTTCTATATGTAGTGAGATAGATGTGTTGAATAACAGGCTGAAAAATCAACTGCAGGTAATGTTGCAGCCTCCTATTGAGGAACCACTTAAAGGAACAGCTGCTGATAGCAATTCGATGAACCTATCTGAAGTGGACATTCGCCTTCCTGTGTTGGTTTATATTTCTCGTGAAAAGCGACCTGGTTATGATCACAACAAGAAGGCTGGAGCGATGAATGCACTGGTTCGAGCTTCTGCTGTTATGTCTAATGGACCGTTCATTCTTAACCTTGACTGTGACCACTACATATACAACTCCCAGGCATTGAGAGAAGGCATGTGCTTCATGATGGACCAGGGTGGGGAAGGCATTTGTTATGTTCAGTTTCCTCAGAGGTTTGAAGGAATTGATCCTTCTGATCGCTATGCCAATCACAACTCTGTTTTCTTTGATGTCAACATGCGAGCCCTTGATGGGATACAAGGTCCAGTATACGTTGGAACAGGATGCCTCTTTCGTCGGACTGCCCTCTATAACTTTGATCCTCCACGGTATGAGGATCATGGCAGTTGCTGCAGCTGCTTCTTTGGTCGTCACAAGAAGGCTGCCATTGCTTCTGCCCCAGAACATGGCCAGTCTCATGAAGCGGAAGACACAGACAATCAGGAAATGAACCTTGCACTTATTCCTAGAAAATTTGGAAATTCAAGTTTGTTTCTTGATTCTGTACAGGTGGCAGCATTTCAAGGTCTGCCCCTCGCTGATAATTCATATATTAAATATGGACGACCTCCTGGTGCTCTAACACTTCCAAGGGAGCCCCTGCATCTAGCCACAATTGCAGAGGCAGTGAATGTCATCTCTTGCTGGTATGAAGACAAGACTGAATGGGGCCAATCTGTTGGATGGATTTACGGGTCTGTAACTGAGGATGTGGTCACTGGGTATAGGATGCATGAACGGGGATGGAGATCAGTTTATTGTGTGACTAAAAGGGATGCATTCCGTGGGACTGCCCCTATTAATCTTACTGATAGACTACATCAGGTTCTCCGGTGGGCAACTGGCTCTGTTGAGATATTCTTTTCTCGCAACAATGCCCTTCTTGGTGGTCATAGGTTGAAGCTGCTGCAGAGGATTGCTTACCTCAATGTTGGAATTTACCCTTTCACTTCTTTGTTCCTTATCGTTTACTGCTTCCTTCCCGCACTTGCACTCTTGTCCAATCAGTTTATAGTTGCGTCTCTAACTGTCACATTCCTAGTATACCTCTTGATCATCAGCTTGACCCTCTGTATTCTTGCTGTGCTTGAGATCAAGTGGTCTGGAATTACACTGGAAGAGTGGTGGAGGAACGAGCAGTTCTGGTTAATCGGAGGCACAAGTGCTCATCTTGTTGCCGTGCTCCAGGGGCTGCTGAAGGTGATTGCAGGAATTGAGATTTCATTCACACTAACATCTAAATCAGGTGGAGATGATGTTGATGATGAGTTTTCTGATCTCTATATATTCAAATGGACATCCCTTATGATACCACCTTGCACAATCATTATGGTCAACCTTATTGCAATTGGAGTCGGAGTTTCCCGAACTATATACAGTGACGCACCTCAGTGGAGCAATTTACTTGGAGGTGTGTTCTTCAGCTTTTGGGTCTTGGCTCATCTCTATCCCTTTGCAAAAGGGCTTATGGGAAGACGTGGAAAGACACCCACCATCATATATGTTTGGTCGGGGCTCCTTTCTATATGCATTTCACTACTCTGGGTTGCTATTGACCCTCCATCAGGAAATACTCAAATAGGGGGGTTATTCCAGCTCCCATGAGTTTCGTGTTTCTGCTATCTCTAGGTGTGGGCTGCATCCAGGCTTCATCATGTATTTTTTTCCTGATCTTTAACATAGATTTGATGTTCATACAGGGCATGGGTTATATAGTAATACATTCAATTCTTTACAGACTTTCAGGTGTAATTTCAGAAACTAATGTGATTAACATCTTACCCTTTTTACGATTTAAAGTTTGCACTCTCTACCTTGTCTCCTTCTTTCCTTTCAGAATTGATCATAGGTAGACATGCAGTGCAAGATTTTCTCTACATCCTTGAATTTTAGTTTTTCTTCCACTGTTCGATTGAAAATCTTTGAGAATGTTATAGAACATATTCCCTGTACACTCCAAATATTAGTTGGTTTATGCTTGGTAGATTTTAATGTAATGGAAAGGGACGGTTATCATTCTTTCCCCGTTTCCATTATAATGCATGCATTTCATCACATTCTGCCAGGCATATTTATCAACATGGTTGCTGTTATAATTTTTTCCTTTTACTGCAAACTTGTATCTTATCAGCGAACTGGTCGCAGCTGAAAGTCTTGGTGCCGGGCTTTAAAATCTAAACAGGGCTTAATCTCCTCGTTCGTGATTTCATTATTAAGGTTTGAAAATAGAAATGTTCCTTGTTTAAGACCTTTCGCCGGCGGCCCCCGATGGTTCCCAGTGCCGCTCAGGTCAATCAATCAAAGGGAAACAGCTGGAAATACATCTAGATGCACAAGGTTGCTTCTGACGCCTATGATCGATGACCTATTCATTCGGCTTATTAGAGTTGGTTGATTGTCAAAGTCAGAAACATCTTCCAGAGTTGGTAGTTGTTGAATGTATATCAACCAAATCAACCTGTCTCCAACCTCCTTCGGCTTACTAATGTTTTTGTGCTCAACTGCTCTCACTGATTCGAAGGCATGGCGATTCTGCAGTAAGAGTTACGAATAACATCCTGTCTTTCTCACCTGCCCATCAATATGCAGTCTCTTTCCTTTATTAATTTCTTGTAAAAATTATACTTTCTTTTTCATGAAATATAGAAGGCCTCAAATGGAGCATCAAAATAATTTGAGGACAAAATAACCACACGCTATGACATTTCGTGCTTGTTTATGTGCTAGCGGTGCATTTATAATAATTTAATTAATTTAATTGAAGTCAAATATGTCACAAGAACTAATAATTAGTACATAATTTATTTTATTTTTCACAATAATGTTATTCTATATTGAACATAAAAACAACGCACAGAATGACTTTTGGTCAATGTTCGTGACTGCATATTACGAGACCAGTCATAAAAATTGGCAGGCAGCTGTTATACTGCAATACATTCTTTTAACATCAAAAGCTAGCATAGGGAGCAACTGATCGGACAACATTTTATTTATAGAGTGTGTGATTTTGAAATTAATTTGAATTGAAATGTGCACAATCATATTAAAATGAAGTTTGAAATCATAAAATCTGTTGTTTTTCTTTTGAAAATATATTAAAATAATATTTTTTATTTTTTAAAATTATTTAAACATTAGTGTATATTAAATTGCATGCGTTGGTAATGTTAAGGCCTGGCATGGAAAAAATATTTAATCACAATCTCTTTTTATATATTGCACCGATGATAGTGTGGTGCAAGTCCTTGATCATTATGGCGTACTGGATTATTAATTATACTATAATGTCACGATAATTATTCTAGCAACCAAGTGTCTTAATTATAGTTTTGAAATCCAATCCATCCTGACGGGTTGATTTAGAATTTAACTGACTCGAGACTGGAACTAGATCAAATTGAAAAAAATAAAGAAAGAAAAAATTGAGTGTGACCTGCTGACTCGATAAGACCAGGTCAAGAACTAATTATAAATCCATTGATTTTTGTATTTTTTTGTTTTTTTTATTAAAATAATATCATTTTAATTTTTTTTAAAAAATAAAATTTGACCTGAACTCACCTGCTAATCTAGTTAAAATTCAAAATTCAAGCCTTGAATTGGACCAATTATCGAGCCGGATATTAAAAGCATGGACTCAATAGACAAGTTCACATGCTAAACGAGATGAACTAACAAATAATCCAAACCGTGCATGCAGCTGCAATATAAACACCAAATTGGATTATTCGATCAATCCCTCTCTCTCTATATATATAAACAAAGATTTAAAAAAACAAATACAAAATGGAAGACAAACCCCATACGATAATACTAATTTACAAATCAATGAAATGGTATCACACATCCGGATCATATTCTATTCTAGAAACTTGAATTCGACCTCGCCGCCTTGAGCGGCGTTTGCGGCCTTGATGGCTGCCACCGAATCTCAATCTACCAGTGTCCCTGAACCTGTCCTTCTCCGATGGAATCACAACACATTCTGGTGGTGGCACGGGATACCTTAATGAATCGTAGCAGTAAGAATAATACATGTAACGCTGGCGAAATTTACGCATAGCTGACCGTTGTCTCCTTGTTATGGTGGCATAATCGGCACTCTCAAGCCTAGAATAACTCTCGTAGCATTCCACTGAAGGAAATTCCTCGATGGGGTCAGAAGGGCATCCCTCTAGGACAAAGTCCTTAAATTCTGACACAAATGGTGCATACTTATAATTGACCTTGTATTTGCCACCCGAAGTTGCCCAATTTGACGCATCCCATATTGTAGCATACAGGGACATTGGTTTTGATGGGTACTCGCCGCCCATTTCTTCACTGCGAATCACCTCTCGGATGGGAACATCATCGATGTAGAATCTGAAAACCCACCACCATAAATGGCACCTTTTTTTGTCAGTCAAAAGTGGGGGAAAAATCTTGGTGGATGTGAGTTGTGGAGATTAGCAGGAATCAAGAAAAGGATCAAATCAATAGCAGTAGCTACAAAACTCAATTCATTAATTTACTTGTTTTTTTGTAAAATGGCGGTAAGTGGTTGATGATAAGTATATATATCCAGTAGGTAGAATTATTACAAAAATAAAAATAAAAATAGAGGTCAATCTTGCATATAGAAATCAAGGAGCTCACAAGTTGGTGGCCTAAGAAATATTACTATCCATGTTGCATATTTAATATTGTGCTCACTTCATTAATTTAAAGTTTTGCGAATTCAATCCGAGAACTAGAATTTTCCGGCGTGGCGTTTACTTCAGAAGGCACCTCCTGCTAAAGGAAAAATCACTCCTAAAAAGTCTGTTTTGATCCAAGAAACATAATTTAAAGTTGGAGAGACAGTAGTGTTGATGAAAAACAATAAATTAGCTTCCAGCCCTCTCCAAAACCAACCAGGATCACAAGCAACCTAAAAATGTTGTCTCGTTAATAAGTCGACTTTTGTCCACTGGTAATATTTAATATTAACATCCCAATTCCCTCACGCAATTGCTAACTTCTCTTCCTTTATTACACCTGCGTCCCTCCCCCCCTCTATTATAGGTCAAACAACAGCCGAAAACAAAAGCTTTGCATGACATAAAATACGACATTGACGTGTATGTGAAACAACACACATCATGTTTAAAAAAACAACTTAAATAGCCAGCGAGAGGTGGGTATAAAGTTGGAGGGAGAAGACAACTCACATGATGTTCTTTTCCGTCCATAGAATGCTATACCTATGGAACTGTTTGGAAGGGTCGAACCATAATCTATATCTTTCTTCTCTGCCACGACGTGTGCTTCCATTACCATACAAGTTTGTTTGGAACCTCCATGGCTTCCCTTCAGTGTTTCCTAGGAATTCAAAGTCCAGTTCATCATGGGTCTTCTCGAACACGTCCCCGTTTGATGTCTGCGCCCGCGTGAAAGAACACAGCATTCATCATGATTGATAATTATATGTTGACCACGATAATCATATTTATTAATTTGACATTAAATATTTTTTTAACAAAACTGTTCGGTAGCGCATATATATATATATATATATATATATATATAAGAATT